CCTGTAGTAGTCTTTTCTTCATACCGAGGTAGCTTGTGGATTTGCTTAAATATCGCCTCCGCAGCACGTTGCTTGCTTCCAGCCATATTCCTGCGCTTCCTATAGCTAGAATGTGCAATTTTTCAGCAGTGTACTTCAAGGTTTTAGCGCGCCCTTGATCTCCACGCCTCTGCATCCCTCGAGGGCTGACTGTTTCGCGTTCATTTTACGAGCGCAATGGTTGGCATTAAATCCGCTTCTGTCGCTTGTTTGTGGTAGGCAAGACCATTGCTGATATGGCTGATTCGTCTTGTGTTCTCATGGGATTTTAAACCAGTTTACTCCCCGCCATTTGGCAGTGTGCACTGTGTAGCCGGACTTTTTAAAAGGCTGTTTTTATAATACAGCTAATGTAGCAGAATTTAATGGCACCATAAATTTCGCGAGCGCTCATCAGCCGCTTCCACTCGCTGCATAAACAGAATAACGAATGATAAATTGCAGAATTGAATTCATACTTCTGTCCATGTGTCGTTCAATTTAATGTCCAGAACGGCAGCGATGAACTGATTCGGTTGTCATCTTCAAGTTCGTCCAATCTACCCAACTTGCCGTATTTAATTAACAAATATTTACCGGGTGATCGTGTCGGAACCGAACTGTTTTTTTGGGAGATGCGATCATTGCGTCAGTAGAACACTCCGGCTATAGTGACGGCACCAATTAGAATCTCTTATCCTAATTTCCCAAGTCTCTTCACATAAGAAGGCGTATTTCGTATGGTAGTCTTGCAATTTGGATGGTCACGTAGATCTCACGGTAGTTCCATGAGCCAGTTTGACGGCGAACCGTGCCAAACAGGGTGCGCCTTCTTTATTTTGCCGTGCATTTAAAAGGTACACAACTAAAGCCCCTTCCCCCATTTAGGCCATATCAAAAACTGTCTCCCTATTGTGTGGGCGCAACTCGAGGAAACCTTAATCTTACGAGTAATCGTGCCTTTTATGCGAGCTTCCCGTAGGGGGTTTTGTAAAATTTCACGCGTTTGCTCATTTTGAGCCCAATTTACAGTTGTTGCTGAGCCCCTGCTCTTTAAGGCTATTTTCATCTGCTTTTTACAACTGTCGTTTATACCTACCTAAATGTTGTGTTTTCTGCCTTTGCCCCTCACCGCCAATTGCAGCTTCGGCCTCGGAGAATGATGAACTGGTAAACGGAGAGCTACCCATGAACAAGCGAGCCACATACCCCTATGTTTCCGTCGAAAATCGTCTTCTACTCATAAACTGTCTCCTTGAGTCGCACCAATTTGCAAAGGCCTTTAATTCAAATGTAGAACAGCGGAACATCCTCTGGGAAGCTGGTATGTCCTCCCCCCTCCAACGGACTCTGTTTTTATTCACAAACTCATCCTTCACTCCCTTTTTTGCTTTCATGGTTTTTGTTTGCTTATCCTACCTTCTCATTTTCCCCTCTGCTTTTAGGTTTTAAAGCGAAGGCGAAACCAAATCTTCTGAAACAGGAAACTCATAGTCTTTCCACAGCTCTCCGAATTCTGTTTCGCATGGGAGATGAGAATACTTCGACACAGGAGCAGGTAATTTACTATACTGTCTCTTACAGTACTTATCTCACGATAACCTCGGGCGTAGTGTGAGTTGTTAACATAGTGATTGCTTTCACGACTCTCAAAAATTATTTTCAAAGCACCTGGGCACTTGTTTTTGGCCCATGCCTTACTTAAAAACACAGTAAAGTTTGCAGTAAGTATTACTTTGTTGCTACATAGTTGTACCCCCTCCATGTAAACTTATAGGTGGCTCGAATCTTGAACCTTTGCTTTGAAGAGAGCTCAAATCCACAATAATACTACCCAGGCAACGTTTATATATATAATTTCAGAAGATAAATTGGCAAACATGCGTTTGTTTTCGATAAATTCTCATCAGACCTATACATTTTTGTCGTAATTAACTAAGTAAAATATGCGGGTTGGTAGAAAAAATATTGCGGTTGTCAAGATAAG